CGCCGCCACACGGAAACATTTTAACAACCACCTTGGCTTGATTTTTTTAAAATTAAGATTTTATAAGATAATTGATATATAATATTTTTATAGTAGTGGGGATTTTTTAATATTTTTAAAGAGTACATTTGACATAGAGAAATTTTAAAAATTTTACTAATTTTACAGAGAAATTTTAAAATTTCTTTGATAGAGAGAAATTTTATTGAGGGATCTTAAAAAAAAAAATATTGAACCTGCTATACAAAGTTAGAGAGATATTTCACTAATTTTTCTTTGTGAACTTTTACAAAAAATATAGATAATATTAAATCTAGATGTAGATCATATTATACCAAAATTTGCATAAATTGCACTCGGAGTCCTTGTTGTTTGCATCTTGTATCAATTTTATCCATAATTTTTTAAAAAATATATCAATTTAGTTCACTTGATAATATCCTTTTAAAAATGAACTGAAATCAAGAGACAAAATAATTTAATCGCTCTTCTCAAAGAGTATGAGGGTTTGCCTTCTAAGTTAAAATGATGCAATTTTTTTTAAGTGAACCATTTTGCCCATGATTCAATTTCGTAACGCATGTCATTGTTTGTATTAAATTAACACAATATAAAAAAAATTAAGAACAAAACTGATACAATCAATATTATAGAGACTACACAAAGATAAATTACAAGGATTACAAATGTAATATGGGCTTTAAATTTTAAACAATTTAATGATATTTTTTTTTTTACCAATTAACACCCTAACTATAGATGTTAGATTGATCATAATTGGATGTTTTATTAAACAATTTAATGATATTTTTTTTTTACCAATTAACACCCTAACTATAGATGTTAGATTGATCATAATTGGATGTTTTAAGGAATTAGCTGAGGTATAACTGGAATCGTGATAAATAAACTAAGAAACATAAGTTACGAGTTTGAATCTCACAAAACTCTTGAATCTTTTGAGATTATTTCGAAACTTATGTTTAGTAATTACTTAATATTCACTCAATATGTGTGAATTGATATATGTAAAATAAAATATTCATCGGAGCAAAACTCTGAATATTCTACTAACCATAAAAAAAAAAGTAGTTAGGCCATCTCCAACGGTTCACCAAATCTAACATCAAATTCAATTTTGATGAAAAAAAATTGCTTTTTGTGCTCCAACGGTTGCACCAAAACAGTATCAAATTGAGAAAATATTAAACGTTTCACCAAATTGAGGACGGCTTGCTCCTTTCACCAATTCACTGTGCATAGTCGTTAAAGCAGAAATTTGTAAAAATTTTACACTACGGGATCGATCACCTGGTTGACCACCCGGTCGACTAGCTCATGCAAAAATTAGCCTGCGAACTGGTTCAAATGAGTCAAATTAATGGTTCAAAGGGTTCAAAAAAATTTGAACCGGTCGATCCACCGAATGTCCCTTTTTTTTTTTATGCACACTACAGTAATCATAACCATTAGAACTACTCGTATTAGATTAAAAAAATCAACTTTTTTTTACTCAAATTTAATAAAAATTTTGTTAAACCGTTGAAGATGCTCTTAGAAAACTATTATAAAGTGTATGAAATGAAATGAACCTTTTTACTTATTTTCTAGGCCTTTATTTGTTGACTTTCAATTCGTGAGATTAATGTTGCTGAGTGATCTTTTTTGTGGCTTATAATATACTGAAGACTTTGACCGGTGACTTGAGGACTCAAGATTACTTTTTTAAATTTATTTTTAGGTCGGGCTCTAAAAAAAGTAAAAAAATAAAAGGTTTATTTTTTTTTTTCAAGTTTAAATATGAATTGAATCGTTATGTTCAGGTTGGTTAGATTCACTACGGATCTCGTAAATCAAGTCATTTCGATAATCATATCATTTTTATTTTATTGCATTTAGTCTATTTTCAAAAATACACCTGTAGTCTTTTTTTTTTTAATATTTGTCCATAAATATTTTATTTTTTTAATGTATCTAAAATTAAGTGCATTTAAAAATTTAAAAGTTTTATTAAAAAATGAAAAAAATTACTAAAAACAAAAAATAAAAAACTTAAAAATAATTTTCAAAGACTAAATTATTATTATTTTTTTAAATTTGTGCAATGAGTGCTCAAAAGCTGTGGGCATTACAGAAAGAGTTTTAGCAAATCAATACATTGAAAATTGAGTAATGCAAGAGCCTTAAAAGGTCTGTTAAAAATTTTACTAAATGTTACATATATTCATGTGAACTATTTGCTAAAAATTTTAATAAAATTTTTTAAATCTTTAATATTTTTATTGAAAATTATTTTATTCGTATAACTTGGACGAGATTGATTAAAATAGTGTATTGAGCCCTAGTTCAAAGTGCGATTGGCTCACTTAAAATAAAATATTTTACTGTATTTTCAGAAAACAAAATTGGAGAGAACATGAATCATTGGAGTTATGAGGTCAGTAGTGCAAAGTCTATAAACAATTGTATCAATAAAATCATCACACTGTGAACTCAATAATTCAAGCTATTATGGAAAATATCAATTCCGTGTTGAAAAATCTAAAAACTTTGAGATTGTGATTTATAATTAGAATTTAATTTGAACAATGAATAACAATTTTCAATCAAATAAAAAATGATCTAATTAGATAATAATATAAATCATCAAGTCAATACGATAGTGATTTAGATTATTTCTAAACAATCAATAAAAGCGACACAACGATATAACGTGAAAAATTTACAATTAGAGCACCTCCAATTGTGATAAAAAATTATAATTAGAATTTAATTTGAACAATGAATAACAATTTTCAATCAAATAAAAAATGATCTAATTAGATAATAATATAAATCATCAAGTCAATACGTACGATAGTGATTTAGGTTATTTCTAAACAATCAATAAAAGCGACACAACGATATAACGTGAAAAATTTACAATTAGAGTACCTCCAATTGTGATAAAAAATCAAGAACGAAAATCACAAAATAATTTACTAAGAAGACAAATGAATTACACAATAGAACCATTAATTACCAAGCGAATCCACGCCTAAATTGAACCGAACTTGTTATGCCTCTTCCAACAGTGTCTTCACCTCAAAATTGCTTCGCCAAATGTTAAATTCATAACGCCAAACTCGAATCTACGACAAAGAGCCACTTTGGAATTCACCAAAGCTTCCAAACTCAAGTTTTACAGAATCCAATGATGAATCTCTTTTTAGAATGAATTTGAATGAAAGAAATCACTTGATGATCTTCAATATAAAACTTGTTAATTTATCGATCACCTTCAATTCATCAAGGTAAACAATCAATAAATACCCTTTAATATAGAACACTTTGCCTTATCTCTTTAGAGAGAATTCTGGAAGGGTTAGCCCTAAATTATGCATCTAAGGTGATTTAAAAGATCCAAAGTGGTGATGACTACTCGAACACAGAAATGACCGCTTGAGTGGTGTCTCTGAAAGGCAATTTCAACAACATTCCACCTGTCATTTCGCTTGAGTGCAAGACTTACTGCTCAAGCAATAAAGCACAACTCTCAGTATCTCTGTCTCTCTGAAATCAAATAGAGATATAGACAAAGATACGGGGATGTTCCAAATTAGCAATCTAGCGCGCACTTAACTGTTTGAGCGGTCCAAGAAGTTTGACAAGATCAATAAAAGCTTATGAGCATACAAACCTTTCCTTTAGCACAAACACCTCTGCTCAAACACAAATTGAGTTGGATTCACATCTAAAATCTCAAATTACCCACCTAATAAAATAAACAAGATAAAAGGGTGGATTAAATAAAAAAGGGTAAATTACACTGACACCCCCTGAGGTTTATGTTTATTACAGTTCCCCCCTCACATTTGGAAAATTACACTGACCCCTTGTTAATTTAATTTTATATATGATGATCATTACGGTGAGGGGGGAACTGTTATGCAACTTTAAACCTCAGGGGGTAATCTGTAATGAAACTTTAAACCTGAGGGAGGGGATGTAATTTCCAAAAGGTGAGGGAAACTATAATAAATATAAACCTTAGAGGGTGTCAATGTAATTTATCTAATAAAAAAATAAAAAAAGAAAGAAAGAAAGAGAAAAGGCCCAGATTCCACTGACCCAAAAAAAAATCCAAAACGAAAAAGAGAAAATGTAACCCTACTAGCTTTTGAAGTATGATAACCCCAGATTCCCTTTTGCCTGTAATTTATGCTAAATGACAACTAAATAAGTCATCTTATCTTCTATTTTATATTGGGTAATCATTTAGTAATGGGACACTTTTTTATAAATATCTTTTTACCTACTTATATTCCATTTAATTCATATTATTTTTTTATATTCTAATAAGTTTTATGGGTGACATATCAAAATATTCCTAATAATATTCACATTTATAGTATAAATATTCCGTGATGTAAATATTCACAGCGTCAATGTGAATGTTCACACCATCAGTGTGAATGTTAATATGTCAATATAAATGTTCACACTGTAAATGTGAACATTTACAGTGTGAACATTCACACCATCAATGTAAATATTCACATTGTAAAATATGAATGTTCACATCACCAAATTGTTAACCGTTCAAAAAATATTTGTAAGGGTAAAAATGTCCATAAAACACTTTAAATATGAGAATTAGGATTTGGTAGATCAAATGTTCAAATAATAGGATTTATTGAAATACAAAAATATCTAATGAACTAATTGGAATACGAATACTTAAAAAAGGATTTTTCTAATGAATTTCCTCCTAAATTATCATGGGACATTATTTACGTAATGTTTTTAAATTAATTATATAGCAATTTTTTTTATAAATAGAACATGTTAACTCACAATTATTAGATAGTAGAAAAATGATGACTAACTTTTAATGTGTATTATGCCGATCAAAAAAAACTTTTAATGTGTATTACAGTTTTTATTAAATAAAATTACCATGTAAATAATATCACATCATTAAAATATCTAATAATTTTTCTATATATAGCTATAAGCATGCTTCAATCAAAACACACAAGTCATCATTAACTTCTTTGAGTTACTGAGAGAAAATCAGAGAGAACAATTCTTCATTTTTAGTCAAGAATGGCAGCTCAAGTAGGTAGATTCATGGCCAAGACCATGGTCCTAATGCCTACTTTCAAACCCTACCAGCTCAGAAATATTATTATGTAAGTTTGATCTTTAAGTTGTTTCGAAATCTCTCATATACATACACCACATTCTCCCCTAGAATGCTTTTGTTGTCGTTATTGTCTTCTTTATTGTTTTCATTTTTGTTTTTGTTGGCATGCATGGTATGACCAATTAACCACAAAATATGATTAAGTACATTGTTGTACTATAAGTATAGGTAGGTTTCAATTTTTTTTTTCTTTTTCTCGTTCATCTTATAAGGAAACAAAAATATTTTCTTCTCTTGTCTCTCTCTCTCTCTCTCATTTTAGGCGTGTTGTTATTATAATTGTTTTTTTTTTTAAAACAATATGTAGAAAAGGAATAAGGGAAGGAAAGTTATATAACGTAATAATAAGATTTAAACTCAGGCATCATACTTAGTAATAAAGCAAAAGTGACTCGATTATTAAGTTACTTAGCTCATTGCCTAAAGCATTCAAAAGAATCTCAAGAAAGCACATTATCTACAAAGTTAAACCCTCATCATTCTCATAAATCATGATACTAAAGATGTGATCACATTTTATTTACTTTTGTTTTATTATTATTATTATTATTATTTGTGTTGCAAGATGCGCTAAGAGTGGAAAGAACATTGACGCCAATAATTCGACGCCACCAGTACGTTCGGGCGACGGTCCAAAACACAACATGCAAGTTACCGGAGGAGGAGGAGGAGGAGGAGGAGGAGGAGATGGAGGAGGAGATGATAATATTGACAAAGCTAAAGCAGATGATGTCAATGCCAAGAAGAGCTAGTCCTCATATCTCTAATAACTTTGTTAGCTAGTAGTTATTGTAGCTATGTTCATGGCCGAAAGGTTGGAATAAGTTTGTAAGTTGTGACTACTATATATTTGGATTCGACTTCTCGCCAGTCAACTAGAGAGAATGAGAGAAAGACCAGTTCACAATACTGTGTGAATTACTCTCTTTCATATTTTTCAGTTGACAAGAGAGATATTGTGAAAATTGTATTTCACTAGCGTGTTTTTTGTTTTTATTTGTTTTTGGCCTTCGCTTGTCTTTACACATTGTAAGATAAAGCATATATGTATGAATAAATATTAAATGTAAGAGTCACATTATTCTACTGGTTGTCACTAATCAATAAAATATTTGAAATTAAGTTAATATTCTTTTTCTTCCACTATACTGCCACTACTTAAATTTTTATTAATTGATAATATTGCCACTTAATTCAATCTTTTCCTTAATATTGTGTATGTTGAGGAATTTCCACTTCATTGTAATGCAGATATATATTGTTTTAATCATTAAAAATGAGAAATACTGAAATGCAGCTGAAAGAGTAAGCTAATCCAAAACAATAAAATTACTTACACAATCTTTTTGCATAATTTTTTATGAATATATATGTGAACTATATTCATTATGGATATAACGCACACCACATCATGAATGAATCGACACATTCACGAAAATTGTGTGTAAAGTGGTGCATGCATATTGTTGAATCCAAAAAGCCCATAAAGCTAATGAAGAATTAGCTAAAAAATTAGTTTATTAACTCAAAATAAGTTTATAAAAAAATTAATATTATAAAAGTTAATTTATTTGATATATTCTTAATTATTATTATTATTATTAGATAAAAAATAAGTTTGTCAATTGACTCAGACTTTTTTTTTTAATAGCAAAATTGACTATTGAAGCCATAACCACATGAAGAGTACTTTTTGGGTGCATAACGTTTTTTTAAAAGCAAAATAACCATTTTATTATAACGATGATATTACATCAATACCATCAAATATATCATCAATAAGAAAAGTGCAGATGAGGACAAGAGATCTAAGCTAACAACCATATGATATATGAGATTTTATCATTGAATGGTAAAATATCATTTATCGATAATGGCGTAATATCACCATTATATTAAGGGATTGTTTGAGATGGCCTAAATAAATGCACTTTTTATCTTTTTACGAAAAGATGTGCAGAAAAATAGAGAGCTGATGTGATAAAAAAAAGATAAAAAGATAGATTATTTTGTGTATGCCAAACTTGGCCTAAATTTTAAAAATTACGCAACTTTATGGGAGGTATATGTCTTACAAAATATAAGGTGTGCAATGGCGAGGGCACCTTAATTATTATGGATAGTGAATTGGCATTCACTTGGACCTCTTTATGAGAAGTATGGGGAGAGGGTTGTTCATAATATGGGAAGTCCCTCTCAAAGCTAATATAGTTGAGATTGTCTATCAATTAAATTGGAAAATGGCATTGGTCCCAAAGTCACCAAAGTCTCAATTTTGTAAACACTCTTAAGGCTATGCTCATCAGTGCTTAGGACCAAAGTGACAGAAATGAAAACTTTTGGGGGTCAGAGTGCAACGAAAATGCATATTTTAGGTGCTATAGATAGATTTTATTGTCATTTGTTCATGATGTAAATGCTCTGTTTGAAATTAGAATAATCTAACTCAAACTAAAAAATTTAGAATGCAATAAACAAAATTAAAACTTGAAAAATCAAAGTAACACGTAACGTAACATTATAGATATCTGCATCGATATTCCAAAATATACTTTTGTATTGTGGTTTCATTGTCATGAAAGACTTTTATTAAAAGAGAGATTGAAAAAATGGAGCCTGGTCAGTAATACTATGAACTTAAAAAAATTATCTAGAAAAAGGACTCAATGACCTACAATCAATCATTGCAGGTATCGCTCACATCTCATCAATTTTAAATATTTTTTCATGGTTCATAGCATTTTGGGAGAGATATGCTAAAGAGAAGTGATATTTATAAATCTCCTTTACCATTTTTTTTATGACAGACTTTCTGTGTTAGATTACACTCATTTAAATTAATCTCAGGACCTGCGCAAAGTGCCTCCTCTACGTGGATTGGGCAAATCTTGAGCAGAGTCCGCGGGTGTAGCTCCTAAATAGTTGATAGTATTTAGTGAGGATTGAACCTAAAACTTGAATGAAGCACGCTCTTTAGGGTCCAAGTTGCACCAAGTAGGCCAATTCCTTAGGTTATCTCGAGCATTTTAACTAGTGAACCATGAATTATTAGAATGCCAACAATGGCACCAATTCAGAAAAAATATTTAGAATTTCAAACGTGTGGACTAGATTCAATTTGTGTGTGAACTACATCCTACCGCGTTTGAATTTATACCAATTTTAAACATTTTACTAAATAATATTTTGAGTACATAATCTGCTATGTTTCAACATTAATACTCTTCTAGGGTTAAATTAAAGTTTTCAGTAAAAACTTTATACATTTTTTTTGGTAATTGTATTTCATAAAACGCTTAACTTTCATGGGACTACATATATGGTGAATCTATATTATGTTGGAAAAAATAATTTTTGATGACTTTAATTTAATATTAAAGTGTGGTGACTTTAATTAAATATAAAAGTGGGTCTCAACTTTTTATTGTGTTAGGTCTAAGTGAGCCAAAAATCATTGGGTTTTGAATAAGAAATTGCCAAGAAACTACCTCATGATGTTAGATTCATGAATAGGATTTTAAAGAGTATTTAAATCATTTTTCTTGGCTAAAGAGTGTGAATCATTTGGTCATCCAAACTTTCATATTTTGGAAAAGGGCTATGAATGCTTGGTGTTTTAATAACCAGCCTTAAAGGCTGAAGGCTCTTCTTTTCTCCCCTTTACATGTATAAATTGAGACCCTCCTATCAAGTTTCAAAATAGAAATTTTTTGCTTCCATTTTACAAGTCAGTTTGCCAGATAGTTCCTACATTGAGAGAGTGCTGCCACTGTTCTTGTTCGCTAAGCTAGACAGAAAGTGCTTCTGCCGTAGCTGGTTTTGACTGTCGTATCTTGGGAGACAGACGCCGGGATTCCTCAAGCACTCGACCCGTGAGGCGGCGAAATCTGTTTTAAGAAAACTGCTTCTGTGCAGGCTTCGGTTTCGTCTCTTTACCATTTTATTGTTTTGTGTATTTCTGTTAAAATTTAATTGTAATTATTAGCATATGTTCTTGGTATATAATTTGATTTCTTCATAAATCTATTTATTTAATTTTACAATTTGAACAACAAGCTTAAAACAGATTATATATATATTTTCTATGAAATTGATTGAATAGATTTATATAGACTATTAGGTTAGCTTTGTATAATGTTACTAGGAATTGTTGCGAAATTGCTCACTATTTCAATAATTGTAAATTATGTTATGGTACTCTCTAATTGCTTAGTTTAGTTAGAATTCTCTATCATAATTTGCATGAATTTTAAGTTTATAAAATATAATTTATGGATGTTACAATTTTGACATGCTAACTCTATTCTAGTTTTAATTTGTTGCATGCTTATTATTTTCTAGACTAGATTACATAATTTAATGTATATTGGAGTTATAGAGTTTTTTATTTTTATTTTTATGAATTGTGTACATGATTAATGTCAATTATTTAATTAGATGCATTAATCTGAATTATCTAATTGGGTGCATTAATGTGAATTATTTAATTAGGTATATTAATCTAAATTATCTAATTGGGAGCATTAATCTACATTATCTAATTGGGCGCATTCATGTGAATTATTTAATTAGGTGTATTAATCTAAATTATCTAATTGGGAGCATTAATCTGAATTATTTAATTGGGTGCATTAACTTTGAATTTAACTTATTTATTTGGAGTTAATAGTTTAAATGTTTATTATGAGTTAATTTCATTCATAACCCATGAGTATAGACTTTTATTTTAAAGTTTTAATTTAATTGGCATTTTAATGCATTGGTTACTTATATAGTTAAAAGTTGGCTAGATGGTTTCATTTAATTTATTAATTTTTTTAGATTATTTGTTTGTATTTTGTTGTGGTTTGCTACTAACTTTCTTTGTAGGGATACCAATGCGAAAAACAAATATAAAACCAAATGAATAGTATTTGGGATGGAAAAACAAAATTGTTTGGAATACTAACTTTTGTGTTGAATAGGAATACCTAAGCGTGGAAAGGCTTTTGGACTAAATAGAATTCTTATGGATTGACTATTTTATTTAAATGTTTGAATCATGTTTTGCTTGAGATTTAGTTGGTTTGTTTATCAATTTGTGGTAGCAAGTTTTATTTGCTTGTTTTGTTAGAAGCATTTTATATGCGTGTAATTGTTACAGTAATTTTTTAAATTACTTGTAAGTTTGGAACTTGGTTTGGTTTTCTGTGATAGAAACCAAAGTTTTTAGTTTTGGCTAAAGAGTAGTTCTTATTTGTTCAGAAATGACAACTAAGACGGATTTGGTTTCAAACCTTTGGAGTTTGAGGAAGTCTTTGGGTTTAATCATTTTATTCTCAAAGTGTTGGAAAACCAAAATTGGAGAAAAGTCTTTGGTTATAATCTGATTATGTCCAAAGTGTTTTGGTTTTGAGAAAGGAAACCAAATTTTAGCGTTAGCTAAAATATTTTTGATTTTATTCAGAAATAATGGGCTTAGTTCCGGGAGTACCGGTTAATTTTTATGAGTGGTGTCATTCTGATAGCAAATTTTATTTGCTTGGGAATCGGTTTGTTATAACCTGGTTTATCCTCTAAAAATCTTAATTTTTAAATTGTTTCCTATGGACTAGGAGTCAACATGCTCTTGAATGTTTTGTCAAAAGGTCAACTGGGTTTTAAGTGGGACCGATGTGATCCCTCCAGTCTTCCTAGGAACATTCCTGACCATGTTCGATTCTAGGTTAAATGGTGAGACTGGTTTTGAATTAAATTTCCATATGAGGAATTTTCTAAGGGTTAAGTTTAATTTTTGGAATCACAGAAGTGAAATTCTATTGTGATGTTTCAGAAATGGCTTCAAAATGTGACAAATAGAAATGTTGTTCCATCTGACAACCTTAGCCTCGCAAGATTCTTAAAGGAAGATCTTGAGAGATCAAGTATGGTTAAGGAAATCATAAGATTGCATTAAAATATCTTTGATTTAATTAGAGGCAATTAGTATGGTATCCTTGTGTTATTTATAGCATTTATGATTGCTATGTGACTTTGCTTGAAAGCAAAGTTGAGACAACCTGTTATAGTAGGTGAATATTTTTTGGATTTTTAAATTCCAAATATAT